AAGATAGCAAAATGCAGATTTATTACATGGCTCCGTTACAAATGTATTTACTTCTTGCTCAGCTGAAAATAAATTTGAACGTACCACTGGCAATCTAAATGATTAACACTACATTAAAAAACAGTTTAACTCGGCAATCACAAGCTACAGATTTCAGTATCCGTAGGGATTTTTTTTTTCCTAACAAAAATACTTATTTTAAAAAGACCTGAACCACTTGACATGTATCGTCACTGACACACACTGAACCCCCATGCCACAATACTGCAGCGCAGCTTTCTAATACAAAGCTAACCAGTCCTCCAGTGCTCAACAGCCCATGCAGCTACGCACATCCTCTTCTTCGGAGTGGCTATACCATCCTTCTTCCTTAAAGCATAGGATCCAGGTTGCTGCATTGAGAACACGACACCTACGTACAACCACTTCACATTATGGTGGAGCCCAGCACACAGTCTAAAGTGGCCCTTACTGGTGGTACCTGCTGCTTATGGTGGTACATGATGGAAGTTTGGCTCCCTCGGTGTTTATGTCGCAGAAATTCAAACGTGTGATCTCACTTTTGGTTCTAGCAAGTTTTAGTTTTTTTGAGTTAAAACATGCCCTCATAAACACACATTTGGTAAAGGCGTATCAAGAGCTGTGGAAGGAAGCGCTACTCAGTGAAAGGGCCGAGTCAAGAATCACGTGGGAATCTACATGTAATGGTAGGTATGTGAAGGTACCTATGCTCACATGAAATGGGGAACACAAGCAGGAACAGGCAAATAAATACTAAGATATTTAAACTAAAAAAATCTCACCATATAGGAACGGGCTATGCTATCACATTTAACATTCTAACAGCCACAGCTTGAAATGGCAACTTCAATTTAAGAAAAAAATCTCACCTTTGCAAATTTACAGTTGCTTCAGACTGCTTTTAAAACAAAGTAAAGGACACCAAAAGTCAATTCAATAAGAAGTTGCTATCATTTATTGTGATCATAGACAAGCTAACAATGGATCGAACTGGACCTGAATGTTCGGTTTCTGTAGGCAGAGATTTGACATTCAGATGCTTTATCAGCCATATAACTCTAACTATCTGCAGAAAGCTCTCTTCATTTGTCTCATCCCGTTCCCTCATCCAGCTACTGTAACTCTTTCACTCTCAAGGCACGTACCTGCCAATTTGCTTCAGTGCCAGCCTTTTAATATTCTTGGTGCAGATAATGTACGCGAATGCTAGAGGTGTATGGGACCAGATTACTTCAACTGAAAGCAGCAGTGACATTTTCTTCATATATATGAGCCGATCACCTTAGTTGCCCTTCGAAGTTATCAAAGAGGAATACCTGCTTCAAGTACAGGATGCCTCACATCCTAAAGATCCTTTCTTTAGGAGATGAATCATGTTTCAGATTACCTGTTTTTTTCCCCGATGACTATACCGAGAAACTAGGATGAATAGCTCAGATGCAGGTATCTAAAATACGAAGGAAACAAGTTCCCAGTGAATAGGTCCAGTATTTTTAACAAACCATTCAAAAGTATTGAAGATTTTTATTTCTGAGTGCTTATAAACACACACACCACCCACATCTCTAAAGTTTAAATCCTAAGCATGAAATTAAATAACATGAAACTTCATGTACATTGCATTGGTCTAAACATGAGAGAAACATACGACTAGGGAACTCCCTTGGAAGTTTTTGGTGAAAAGACTGTCATCCATAGCAGTCATTGTGAATATTATCCTGACTCCATTCTGTGCACTGAATCATTCTTTATGTCTCTCCTCAGAACTGTATTTGAACAAACAATCTTTGAAAAAAAATGTATCCAGGTTTCTTAATTTCACTACAGAAATCAAGCAGGCCAGCTGATAAGAAGGAAACTTTAATCTTCTGTAATTAGCAATGGTGGAAAGGTAACGTGGGGAAAAAATCCAGCACGCTGGAAAGACAGACAATGTTTGCAACAAGTTATGTACAAAACCAATTTTTCTTCACTCTTCTCTCTTCCAGGTTGGGTGTTCTGCACTATTCCAGGAGTGAGTTATGAGGTATGAAAAAACAAGCAAAAGGTTAACATTATAGCCATTTTAATACAGCTCACTGTATTATTTGCACTCTCAAAATATTTCTGAAAATAAAGTAAAAAAATATTCAGGATTCTTGAAAGTCTTAAGGAATTTTTTATTAAAAAAGCAGTCTTGTTTGTTGCTTCTTTTGAACCCAATTCTGCCTAAACTTTATACTCAGACATAAGCGTATCCTTCTTATTACCACCATACAAGCAATCACATTGAATTTCTATAGCACTGAAAATGATATAAAAAAAAATCAACCCTCACAAAAATATATACAGGTAGCCAGAAAACTAATCAAGAAGAAATCATGTTGTCTGTATTGAAGAGTAAACACCATTTTCAAATACCAACAAAACATCCAATTTGTTGGCATGTCTCTTCCATCTAAGACTCTCGAGTAGAAAGACAAACTGACTTCCACATATGAATTCCTACAACAACTTTGGTTCTTAATGACCTAGAGAGAATTCATACTCCATACATAATATTGATCTAGTGGATTCCTGTAAAGCTAAGATGGCAGGCAACAGGGAAAACGATATATGTGAACTTCATGATGAGAAGAATAATTTAAACTCGGTGTGTCATATTCCAAATATACAGAAAAGACCTGATTATATTAAATATATTTATCTTCTGCTATAAAGTAGCTCATCCAGCCAGATCCCAACTCTTTAATACCTCATGACTGAAGCAGCTAAGTGTTCTCTATATCTGATGAATAACAGGCTACGTATGGGAAGCCTTAAAAGTCTGCTGTTGGTACTGAAGGGTGTACCTGTTTCAGCACGTTTCAGACACAAAAGTTGGTACTGACTAAACTATGCTGGTTATCAGAAGATGACTAGCCATACTGGTGCAGCGTTCTGCTGGATCAGTACAGATAATTACCAAAGAGCATGTTTATATCCTGCAAATATATTCAGAAACTAGTTTCTGAAAATTTTGTCCAGAGACCAGAAGAAATGGAAACAACTGCATCAACTCAGTACCCTATATGAACTGAGCGCTGCTGAGAAACAGGCTGTACTAGCAGGAGAGGAGCATTGCACTAGCACAAATACATGCCTCTGATACCTCAACTAAAATCAGTATGGCAACATACTATGTAATGTAGACATATTAATTCATTCAAAGCCAAATTTTTGGACAGCACCACACTGCCACAGCCTTGCTGGCTAGGTTTATAGCTAGTCTGGCAAGAATATTACATTAAAGTAGCTGCACTACTTGTAGCACCCAAACTAGCTTTGTCAAGAGGATGCTTTGGTAGCTCTGCAGTATTGCAATGTGTTCTGTAGACACACTTGGTTCTTGAAACAACTTTCAAGAGCAACTGTCATTTCCAAGCAAATTTATAATGTAGCCTAGGCTCAAAACATAGTATAGCTGTAGAATGGTTACATGATGGTCAGATGGCAAGGTCACATGACATCCTGTCCTACAGCAGGCATTCCCTCTATACTTTAAATGGTTCCACACATAGGTGAGCTGTGTATGGAGAACATTCCACAGTCTCTATACGATAATCATTGGACAAATTAGGAAAGCTGCAAATACCACATTGATATTTTTTTTTTCCTACGAGGAAGACAGAGGGAAAGGATAAAGGAATATGAAAAGAGAGGTAAAGTTCCTCAGTTCTCACATCCAATAGCAATCTTCCAATCTTAAAAAAAAAAACCAAACCCAACCACCAAATAAAGACACGTGACTTCTTCCTGAAGCAGGAAGAAGTAAATATTAGCACAAGACAAACACCTCTGGACAGCCAGAGTTTAGACTAAAGCATGGCACATTTTGAAAAGTGACATTGTATCAATGTGTACCCTCTCTGAATCATCCCACATCAATGTGATCAGGTTATGCATTAACAGCTATGCTTATCTAACTGCCACTTCAGCAAATGCATGAGCCACAGGAGACAAAGGTGAATCTGAGCTCCTTCCAGTTAATACATCAACAGCCAAGGTCAAGTGCTCTGCCCAGTTACTTTTTTTTTTTTTACAGAAATTCTCTCCTTATTCACCAACACTATAGGAGCTGAAAGGTGTAATGTCCTTAACCGGAAAGGACTGAAATACCTGAGAACACAGAAGAACTCCTGTAGATGCTAGATGGTATTTAGACCACTGACCTGCAGTAGGAGCTAAAGCAATTCTGACCTGTTGCCCAAGTTGTCTATCCTAGACGAGGCTGCCTGCAAGAGCAGAAAATCTGACTCCTCTGTCACCTCATGCTTCTTTTCCCTTTGCTGCTTGCTAAAATCTGTCTTAATCTAAGAGTATTTTCTCCACTCAAGCATACCTCAGCAGTGCACTGGCTGACAAACATTTACGGTCAAATCTTTTTCCTCATTTACTCCTGTATAAATCTCACACTTTGAAGGGTGGAGCCAGAAACAAGAACAAGGGCATAACCCAAGTTACAAGGGTAGGCTGATGTGCTGGAGAGAATCCATTCTTCCACTGGCTCTGCAGGACTGCCAGCAGAAGGCAGTAATAAAACTGAAGTGGACAGATATTCTTCGTACTTGAAAAGATCAGGATTTAAACAGGAAATGGCACTTTTTTGAGAATCACTTTCAGAAATAAAACTGCCTTCTGGTATTCACCCTGCTACTAAAAAGTCAGATGAAGATATCAAATTACAAGTGAAAGCTGTGAAATTCCATCTGCATTGCTTTCATATACCTATAAAAATGTTCTAAGGGACTTTAAAAGCAGTTCAAGAGTAAAAACAAAATGATTCCCCAAAGTGCAGCTGAAATGTTAGGATCTGTAGGAGGGCATAATTGGACGTTCAAGTGTGCCGTGCTGGTGGTGTTACTATTTTGGAGAAATAATGACTGAATCCTTTACATGGTCAAAAGTACCCATGTAACATTAATTGTAAACAGCATGCACGGACAACCTGCAAAGAAACATCAGACACCGCCTTTCTTTTGCAATTGCTCCAGTTTTCTTCTTAAGAGGTTGTAGTTTTCCCTGGTCCCGGGTGCCATAGGATCAAGCTTCAGAGAGACTTCATAGTGCTTCTTTGCTAAGTCAAGATTTCCCCAGCGATGATAAAGCACAGCTGGAACATCAATGAGGAATTTCATTAGCAATATTGTTGAATAACGTGCAATCTTGCCAATCACTTGGAAAACAACATTAAAGCATTTGTTTCCAGTGAGGGTATCTCACTGGCTGGTGGCACAGTAGCTGCTTGTTCTGTTGCCAAATGCAGGAGCAAAGCCTGGGAGCAGAACTGGCATGGGAATGATGAAGGAATGAATTACATTGCAGCCATAAATGGCAGCTCTTATCTGGTGAGCTCATTGCAGGTTACAAGCATAGCATAAATGAACCAATTTGCAGACACTGAAGTGCAGCTACCTCTGGGCTGGATTGTGCAGCCCTCTTGATCTGTCATATCATGTGACAGCTTTTCTGGTTTAGTGCCCTGTTCTTCTGGCTGGCAGTTTTTCTAGGAAGTAAAATAGAGATCTGCCCAGCAGGAAGAAGGCTCAGAAGATTGCGTTTTCTTTTTAAACACAATGAATATGAAGCAAACAAACAATTCAGCTGATAAGAGTTAGAAAGGCGCTTACCCAAATTACCATGATAACTGGCAGCATTTGGATTGGCTTTAATTGCCTTGAGGAACAAAGCTTCAGATTCCTGAATAATTTAGAACAACAAGTCAACAGGGCAGTCTACTCCTGTAGTATATAAAATAATGCAAAATTTACCCACGATTGTAATTAAAACCCCTCCCAAACTATGCCATATCTATATGATACCACTGTATATATATTCTAAGCCTGCATGATCCTATAGCTCAGGTGGCTACAGCCTCCAGAAAACAGTAATGCTACAAGTAAGTGCCATGCTTTCACAGGCTGCTGTTATTTTAGCAGAGAGCTATTAAGCACTAGTGAAGTTTGCAAAGCAGTTTACTTAATTGTTTTTTTTGCATGGTTAACGATATTTTCAAACATTACCTACTGAAGATTTCCCTACTTATTCAATCAAGTTAAGGATAATATAATTCATTATCTGAGCAAACTGCTTTTAGACACATTTCCCTTTAAAATAGTTTTTAGCATTTAAAATGGGAGCATTCCAGAAAACCCCTTTCAAACAGATGTTTCAACATGGTTGTCAATGAAGAGTAGCTGAGTGCCTGCTACTTAAAAAATCAAGCCAACTGAAATATTCCTGACATTTCCTCACAAGTTATCTTTTCCATATTCCCACTTGTGGTGTGTACTCTTAGGACTGTTGATATCTGAGTACTTAGAAAAGCTGAGCTCCCTCACCAAATATTCAGAGAACAATTTACCACTAAATTTATTCTCTAATTCAAACATTTTTATTTTCCCAAACTAGCTGCTAATATAGATACCTTTGTTCCAGAGCATATTTCCCGCAGAAGTTTAAAAAGATACACTCCCCCCAATCCAAATGGAGCGTATTTACTCACTTGCATGCAAGTTTAGATATTTTAGAGTGCAAATGTTACATAGGTTTCTATGCTGTGCTGTGTTTTAGGGAAAGTTGCCCATTCAGTTTCAATGCAAATGGCCTGAAGATAAAATTACCTCAGTGTGGTAGGCTTCCACCTGAATGCACGTACTTGCTGGCTGAGGTATGCGAGAATGATAACCTGGGGAAAAGGCCTTTCCTTTGTGCTAAGCTTTTATTACTTATGTCCACAAAACACAACACAGGCTCTACTGAAAAAGAAAACCTATCAGGCAGATTTTTGGTTCCACCATCTTCTCATATGAAGCATGAAATAAGTCTTTGTAAGGGTCCCTCAGGGGACAAGAAATTTCTGATGTCAAGATTGAGTCACTCAACTTTGAGTGACTTAAGAACTTCCCAGTATGTCCAAATTCAAACCCAAACTACATGCCCCTTTCAAAGCATTCCTTAGCACAGCTGCGGCTGCCACTCTGAAGCCAAGAGCAACTGATGCAGGAAGTGTCTTCACCTTCTCAGGTCAAGGAAATTACAAACCCTAGCATTCTTGACAAATCCTTTTGCAGGACATCCTGTTTCAGGAGAAGGAATACTTGGATAGGAGTGAACAAGGGAACGAGATGTCTGGAAATTTAGGGACAATGTGACTCCATAGTGCAAGTTTTAGCATTGCTTTTCCCTGGTATAAGCAGCAACTCCAGCATTCTCATACCCAGACTATTAATGTTCCTGGATGCATTGGTCTCTTTGAAACCCATACTATCTAGTGTCTTCATTAATGTTTTAGATGATGGGACTGAATGAGCTTTCAAAAAACTTTACAGATAGCGCCTAAGAGGAGGGAGTGGTCAATACACTGGAGGGGAGAGCTGCTATTGAGAGGGACCTGGACAGGACAGAGAAATGGACTAGCAAAAAATCACAGAATGGTTGAGGTTGGAATGGACCTCTGGAGGTCATCTGGTCCAACCTCCCTGCTCAAGCAGGACCAGATGCCCAGGACCATGTCCAGGCAGCATCTCCAAGGATGGAGGCTTCACAACCTCTCTGGGCAACCTGTGCCAGTGGTCACAGTCACAGTAAAAAAGCATTTCCTGATGTTCAGAGGGAACATCCCAGGTTTTTGTTTGGGCCCATTGCTTCCTGTCCTGTCACTCAGCACCACTGAAAAGAGCCTGGCTCCATCCTCTTTGCACCTTCAGGTATTTATATACATTGAGATCCTCCCCCTGAGACTTCTCTTCTCCGCGCTAAACAGTCCCAGCTCTCTCAACCTTTCCCCATGGGAAAGATGCTCCAGTCCCTCCGTCATCTCCATGGCCCTTTGCTGGACTCTCTCCAGTATGTCCATGGCTCTCTAGGAACTGGACATAGGACTCCAGGTGTGGCCTCACCAGTAGAGAGGAAGGATCACCTCCTTCAACCTGCTGGCAACACTCTTAACACAACCCAGGATATCATTAACCTTCTTTGCCACAAGGGCATGTTGCTGGCTCGTGTTCAATCAGTCTGGTGTCCACCATGACCCTCAGGTGCTTTTCTGCCAAGTTGCTTTCCAGCTGACTGGTCCCCAGCATGTACTGTGCCTGGGGTTGTTCCTCTCCAGGTGCAAGGCTTTGCACTTCCCTTTGTTGAACTGCATGAGTTTCCTACCAGCCCATTTCTCTAGCCTGTTTAGGTCCCTCTGGATGGCAGCATGACCCTCTGGTATATCAGCCACTCCTCCCAGTTTTGTGTCATTCACAAACTTGCTGAGGGTGCACTCTGCCCTATCATGCAAATCAATAATGAAGATGTTGAACAGGATTGGACTGCTGGAATCTCATGAAGTTCAACACCAGTAAATGCAAAGTCCTGTATCCAGGATGGGATAACCCCATTCAAAAGTACAGGGGGCAACTGTCTAGGAAACAGCTCTACAGAATGCACCTGGTGGGCCTGGCAGACAGCAAATTGAATAAAAGCCATCAATGTACCCTCACAGTAAAGATGACCAACCATATCCTGGGCTGTATTAAGTAGAAGTACACCCAGCAGGTCCAGTGAAGTAACCCTTCTCCTCTATTTAGCACTTGTGAGACCACATCTGGAGTATGTGTTTGGGTTGGGGCTCTCCATTACAAGAAAGACACGGACATACTTTAGCAAGTCCACCAGAGAGCCACCAAGATGGTCGGGGGCTGGAGCATAAGACATAAAAGGAGCAGCTGAAAGAACTGGATCTCTTCAGCCTTCAGAAGAGAAGATGAAGGGGAGACCTTATTGCTATCTAGAAGTGCCTGATCAGATGATACAGAGAAGATGGGGACAGACTCTTCTCACAAGTCTGTGAGACAGGATGAGACAAAATGGATGCAAGCTGGCATATGGGAAATTCCAATTAGATAAAAGGAAGATGCTCTCCAGAGAGGTTTTAGAATCTCCATCCACAGAGGTGTTCAAGATGCAACTGGAGATGGCCCTGGTTTGGGTCAGGGGTTGGACTAGATGACCTCTGGACATCCCTTCAGTCAAAATTATTCTATGATTCTAACTCAGTCACCTGAAAAACATACTGAGACTCAAACATTTGGCAAGTCTAGTGGTGTTGCAAGATAACCTCCTCTTTTTGTACAACCATCCAAACCTTAAAATCAACAGTAGATTGGCACTTGAAAGCATGTAGCAGTCAGAAGTACCACAAAGTTGTATTGTTTTCCACTGCAAATTTTAGTATTTTGGTCTAAGAAGTAAATCCATGTTTTTTTCACTGGGCAGGTTAACAGCAATCGAAGTGAAAGATGTGCTGTCCAATTAATTCAGGTTTATGCCTGAAAGTTGCCACCTACACAAAGGCAAAGCACCTAATGTATGGACTCATCTTTTCATTGCTGAAGCCTGATGGGACAACATGTGCAATGTGTTCCCAGAAAATTTAATGAAACATTCTCAGAGCTTGCTGCCATTACCATACATCTTCAACTACATGCTGAAAACATTTTTATCATCACTGCTTTGCTCAGCAGCTAGCAGAAGCACACTGGCTGATTAAAGGCTATTTAAGGTGCATCATATTCATATTACTGTAGATATATGGAGTAAATATACATTCCAGTACATCCGGTCATATTTCAAATTGCTCTATCTTGCCAAATCTTTAAGTGTTGCCAAGAAGCTTGCACACTGCATATAGCAAAGCCTTTGGGTAAGCACACTGCATTCCATCTGCTGCCAAGGCCACAGCACAAAATAGTAGTCTGGCTTTATTTCAAATACAAAAAATGCTGAATGGTTTCAATTTATTGTACTTTTTACAGAAAAAGCATAGATGTATACGTAACAAAAATACAGCATACTATTTTCAAAAAAATAAAGATAGCTTGGTTCTTCATCCATTGTGACAAGAACAAGCATTTAAAGGAGAATGCTAACTTGGTATAACAGATGTTAATTGAAAAACAAAACAAAACCACCAAACCAGCTCATCTTTGATGTGCTTTTGTTTCTGGAACAATAAATCATTCATGAGTAGATACAAACAGAAATCATAAAGGGTTGGGTTTTTTTGGTCACTTAGGAAAACCATCTTCTGCTGAAAATCAAAGTGCATTTGAAACTGAAGGAGAAGATTGTGTGCTTATTGGAAGGAAATCTCTCGTAACAGCGTAAAACCTTTTCGACTCAATGTCTTTTAAAATAAGAGATAACAAAAAAACCTCAGAACAAACCTTACTTTATGGCAACAGAGCCAATACAGTAACAACTTTTATACAGACACATAAGAAGTAACCTAATAAATGAAATGCCTGAGGTAATACAGCACATCAGATATAACTAGGCAGCCCTCTGAAAACTACCTCCATCACCTGGACAGTCTCCATCCCTTGCTCCTCCCTTCCCATCCCAAACACTCAATAAAAATCCTTAAAGAGCCATCCACTTCTCTCTGTTTTTACATGGTGAGTGGGTAGACAAGAAATCTGAATTTTCCATGCTTTTTATTGTCATTCAGCATTCTCCCACTTAAAACCCTTGTATCTCCTTTTTCCAGGCGATGCAAACTAGAGCTGCTGAGATCATAACCTTTTCTAAGTGAGTCCACTTTCCAGTTCTCTCAGTTTGCTCTCCCTGTTATAACCCATCAACTTCAAGTTATTAGTTAGGTTTTTTTCTCTACACAAACCTACTACTCTGTATTGAACTATTAAAACACTCACTGGCTCCCTGTTTTCTTCCCTGTGCTCCACTGCTCCTTTTGCTTTATTCAGGATGCTGACTTGAAAGCTTCATTTTCCCCTACTATCATTTCTACTTTGTCTCCAACACATTCCCCTGCAGCATAATGACCTTTCAGATCTAGCAATCAAAATCACTACCTCCTTTTTTATTTTTTAAATCCACTAAGACAGACTTGTTTCTCCTACACCTGGAAAAGTTTTCTAGCTTGTCTTCAACTTTTTTTTTTTTTACTTATTTCATTATAAATGCTCTTTATTCTGTCATGCTGCATACTCTTCTTGATGAATAACCATACAATCCTCTATTCTTTCACAGTTATGACTCACCAAAATAATCCTAGCAATTACCTCCGCCATAATCTCATCCCTTATATGTTCTGGATGTTAATTTGTATCTTTCTGGAACTTTGTTAAAGTAGCCTAATATATATATATATTATAACAGTCTCAGGTGGAGAGAGAAAAGAAAGTGTACAGAAAAAAAAACCCCAGCCAGTCTGGAGAAACAGTAATAGGGAGGGCATCTAACAGCATCACTAACCCAAACAAAAGCAAGTGCTGGGTTGTCACAGGCCCTGGCTTCACAGGTCATGACTCTACAGCTGAACAGGACTGTAGAAATTTAGAGTGGACACAGTAACTCGTGGAAAAATGTATCTATTCTGAGAAGCTTCACATCATAAAATCTTCTTACTTTGCATATACTGAAGATGTTCCTTCAGGGCTGCTAAAATTATCACTACCAAAAAGCCATCAAAACCCCCAAAAGCCATAGTTCAGTAAATTATGTTTTTCTGAGGAATACCACAAACTTCCTTGACTATTAATTTGTCCCTATCACATACATAAATCAGTGACTATGTAGTCAATTAAAACAACTAAATATATTAACAGTGTATGATTTATTCTCTGTCAGCTCATATAATTCCTTTTGGAAAATAAATCATTCTCATCAGTTCCATTACATTTACTACTTGTAAACACAAGCAGCTAATGCTGAGGTACCACTCGCAAGCTGGTCCACTGCATCCAAGAAAAAGTTCAATGCATTGCACAAAGTCTTTTCCTCATAATATTCTGGGACTACCCAGGTATCCCATCCTCATTCTGGGATTAGCAAATCTGTAGTATCTCTATTTTAGATAGTGCCTGAGGCAAAGAGGCTAGAATTCATATTGGGTAATGGTAAACTTTTACATAGAAAAAGCAGAAGGACTAGCATGTCACATCTAATTTTAGTTCCTGAACCAAGGCCTCTAAATCAGAGCAGGCTCGCTCTATTGGCAGTGAAGCAATACAGGACCCTAACTGCCCTCTAGTGTGCTTGAGAGCCTATTTCTCTCCACTGACCACTGACATAGTTGAGGGCAGCAATATTCCTAACACAGGCATCTAAAATAAGATGGGATGAACTTAGGCCAGAATCACACAGCAATACTGTGACAGAAATGGGCATTGAAACCTGATTATCTAAGTCATAGTCCACAATGACCTCCTCAAACACTTTCTACAGGAACTTACACAGAGTTTAAACAGGAAAAAAAACCCAAACCAAAACACAACCAACACTCAGAAAGCTCTAGTTACCTACCTTATATTTTTGCGATTTCCCCAGTACATTTGCCAATGAAAACATAAGGGAATGATCATTAGGTATCAATTCCAGGGCCTCTCTTCCAACTGCTTCTGCTTGAGCTAGATTGCCTGGGAGCCCATGAGTGGAAAAAGAGAGGGCATCTTTTAACACAGCCTTATTAGTTGCTTTTCATGCTGTGAGCCCGCATATTGTATGACTAGCATTTTTAAAGAAAATCAGGTATCACACACACACAAATGTAAAGCTCTGGAGAATAAGACAACAGAAAACCTCCATTTTGTTTTCAACAGGTGGCACTTTCAGAAGAACAACAAATCACAGATTCAAAAGTTCTGAAGTTTGGTCTATAATACAAACATGCTTGCCCAATGATGGCATTTCAAATAAGAATTGGAAATTCAATTTATGGGCTGGATTTCAAGTGATGCTTTAAAACCATTCAGTCAGAAGGTATTCTTGTATTTATAGACAGTATCTAGGTAGCCAAAGACAAGGCAGAACTCCTTTCAGATGAATACAGACAAAGCTTTAAGTTTTGCAAGACACTGAATTATTCATTAAAACATTCAAATGGGCTTATACCTGTGTTATCAAGCAATATAATCATATTATTCCAAGCCAAACTATGCTCTGGCTTCAGAACTGTAGCATTCCTCCATGCATTCAATGCATCTATATGGCGATTCAAATCTGCATACTAAAAAGAAAGAAAAACTCAGTAATTTCAACCTGATTTGCTTTACTTTCCTATCATGGACTAAAGACACTAAAGAGTTGTTAATGTTTCATTCCATTCTAGTAGAACTTTTTTTTTATAGACAAAAATAAGAAATGTAAGAAGAATACTAGGGTAGTATGGAAGATAGTGTGCTATATATTAATTTTACCCTGGTTTTTTCTGGGATGCAGGCTTGTTTTCAAATATGCATGTACCAGTAGGATAGGGAGGAAAACCAGCACATGATTTAGAAATCTACACAACAGAATAAGTAAATATTTAATATAAATATTTCCAAGAATCTAAATGGAATTTTTTGGCATAGTTCGATTACCTAACAATATACTAATGACTGTGAAACAGTCTAATATTGAGAAATGATTAATAATATCTTTTGAACAAAACCCCAGAACCTATATTTTTCTTTGTACCTCTTTATATGAAAAAGTAGGACTACCAAAGGTTGTAAGGAAGGACTTATACTGGGAAAGCAATAGGAAAAGCTACTGCAAATAAGAAATCACCCCAAACTACAAGCAAACTGGAATAACTATCAGCATTTAACAGTACAGTGGAATTATACATGCATATATATACACACACACCCTCCACAGAGGTTACTGTCATAGCTATCATTTATTCAAAAGCACTTACCAACCGCCCTAAATTGTAATAACAGTCTGGATATTTTTTCCTGTGTTTAATTGCTGTCCAGTAGCTTTGCTCTGCCTCTTCAAACCTTCTTAAACTATTCTGTACTATTCCTAGATTCATCCATGCAGCAGCAAAATCGGGTCTGGGCAAATTGGGGAAAAAAAAATGAGAGAGAGGACAATTGAGCATTTGGAACATAAGATCCTATTGTGTCATTTCTGCTCAGTTGGTGCAAAACACTGCTTAGTACTGGTCTAAACATACTGTATTTGTACAGCTAAGGACAGCAACTCCTCTGCTTCTTGGAGCTCATTTCTTTCTTTCAGAATATTTCCAAGGTTGTTCATGGCATGTACATATTTAGGATTCAACCTAAAATTTAAAATTTAAGAGATGATTATTATGTATGGGACATGTATTACTATATGCAAATTGCTAGCTCTGCAATGCTGCAGACCATGAAAATGAATCCCTAAGAATTTTCACGTTAAACATGAAAGCAATTTTAGGATAGTTCATTAAAGCAGTAAAATTCCTAATACCTTACAGCTTCTCTGTAGTATTTGATTGCAGCACTTTGATTTCCTTTGTCAGCCAGGTTTTTGCCAACATTGTAGTGCACCTGAAAACACAGATGAACATTCTACCAGATGCTATACAGTCAGATATTTTGTAGATCCAAGGTGCTAAAAATTCTTACTCCAAATAGATACACTCAGCGCTTGCGTCATTCACTACTGGCTTTTGTTGTAGGTGGATACTTAAGATTGGACAATACATACAATGAAAACAGCAAGACAAAATCTGAGGAATAAATTAATTAATCAGCTTACCTGTTCCAGCTATTTAAGAAAGATTATTCACTTCCTGATTTTATAAATGAGGTCACCACACTTTCCAGAAGACTGTCTATACTGAGACCTCTTGCTCTTCATGTCATTTATTTGTCAGATAAGTAAGAGAAAGTCTGACTCAATCAAGTCCACCATAGCAGAAGAAAAACTACAGCAATGTAAGTGTTGATTAAACTTTGCTTTCGCTATAGCATAAACTAGAGGAAACTCAACATTAACAGAAAAACTAAGCTCCATATTGCAAACACAAACAAAAAAATAACAAACACACACACTATTATTGTCTTGGGATAAAAATGCATCAAACAGCATATCTGAAATAAAAATAATGTGTATGGCAACATGTTGGAGACCTTGCCTGTTAAAAAGTGGAGAATGAAGGAAGGATCTAGAGATTTGAGATATAGCTACAGGGAAGAAGATGCATCATCTGAACTTATGACAAGGACTAGATAGGAATAAATATATTTCAGGAGAAATCTGAGTTGGAAAACATCTCAAATCCTACTTTAAGACAAATCGCAGAAGACTACGTTACCTGGTCAAAGGGAAGACTCAAATAACAGAAAAGTACTGAGTACTGACTCCTGCAAATAGACTTCTCAGCAACTAGATCAGAACTCATTATTTAAATTACCTTACTATTTGAAATCAAATTGTCTATACTTCATCTAAAACAAACACACACTGTCATTTCTTCCATACTTTGAAAATCTAATTTAAATCTTTTCAAAAACACTATGCAGGAATTACTTCAGATTGAAGTACAAAAAGATAGGTTTGTAATGCATTTAGATAACTCTAGTTCACCTTCTACATTCAGAAAAGGATTTTATCTCATGTATCCATCAAAGGAAAAATCCTAATTGTATTTGGCACAATAGCTGGGACCTATTGATCCAGCACAAACAATTATGCTTGAACCTAATTGTTACGGTATTTAATTGTTCAACTCCATCTCTATATGACTGTGACTATGCAGTAACATACCATCAACAAATAAAGTTAAGAATATTTTCCATGCTTTCTAGAATGAGTGATAAAGTAGTTTCACTGGTTTTACAGACAGCAAAGATGCTATAAAGCTTACTAAGCATACACAGAAGCAGATCCTCAGGCTGTAAGATATAAAATAGCACACAAATTCAGCACCCCATAAAAGCAGTTCTAGCACAGCTTCCAAGAAAAAAAAAAGATCCAGGTACTTCTTTTGTATATTCATAAAAATATGACAAGGTCCATGCCAAAGAATCAATGGAATGGTACATTTATATCAAGACATAGCCATTCATAAAGATCAGTTGATGGTATCAAAAAAACCCCCGAAACGCAGAATAGCATTGTTTTCCCAGGAGTCATTAAAGTAAAATGATATGCCCTGAAAGAAGTTTCTTAGGACTGAATACTATTTGTATATCTCTTCCAGAAATTTCTTCTGCACACTATGATAACATTCTTACCAAACTGGATTGCTCTGATTACATATGCTGAAGTTTACAGACTCAAAATTTATTCAGAGCAAATTAGGTTATTAAACTTTGCTGTGTTTCCAGATAAAAGATAAATTGTGGCAAAACAGAAAAAAATGAGGAAAGATTTCACTCAATAATGTATATTACCCCTTAAAATACCTGGCTTCACATTTCAATATCAGCAAACAAGATTACATTAACCTGATTCAATTTCTTTCTTGAAGAAGTTTTACAGAAGTCATAAGCGTTACTGAAAGAAGAAATTTGATTAAAGACTGGCAACAGAGCATATGAGAAAAAACTGTATACACCAACCACTCAGTCTTTCACGTCAGCTCTCTTATGTGAGGAAACAGTCAGCATTTCACTGTCTGATTCAATTTTTCTCAGTTTTTACAAACATGTAGCATCTTAATATCCATTTCTATCTCAAAAGCAGAAGCAGAAAAAAATCTTTTTCTCATGTAAACAGAATTGTGCAGACTGCAGAAACCTGAAGTATCTCAATTCTCTCAAGTCAAAACATCAAATGAAATATTAAGTGTACACGTACATTTTGTCAACTGAACTAAAAATATGTACTATAGTCTATTAAAACTGATAGCAAAACGATTTAAATAAACTATTAGCATTTTTGATGGTGTATTTCTCTGTCCTCAGAAACAGCTTCTGTGTGAAAGGAAACGGTATTTCTACACAGTACTCCTGAAAATGAAGAGTTCCTTGTTGTATGCTGGTTTCCTAATTTCTCTTCAAGTGAAATTGTAGCCTTAGTTCCTTTTAATATGGTGGTGACAGAGAAGAAAGGAAGGGAAGAAAAACTAAAACAAACATACCAAAAGAACCCCTCAGCCTACCACAAATACTCAATGACAAAACCAGCTTTACAATGGATTATAATAGTCAGTACCATCCTGCTCTTATGAACAGTGTCAGCAAAGGGTTTCCAGGCACACACAGCCATTTGAGGGGTGCAGGTGACTTCTGCCATGCAGCCATGTCTCTCACTTCACTGGCCATGAGAGAGAGATGCCAAGATCAGCCTTTAGCTCTATTCCCCGAAACCAGGCCTACAATAACTATCTGCCCCCTGCTAAGCACACGGCTGTAACTATCTTTAACTTCTCCTATGACCCCTATCTGCACAACATGGGGACACAAGTACTTTCTATACACCAATGGGTGGGAAGAATCTGGCCTTTAAAAATGAGGGGCCAGTGTGATGTTTTAAATTTCATCTCTAGTGATGTGGTGGTTCTGCCTTCGACAGATATTGTGCATGCTGACCTGGGAGAGAGGATTTTCTTTTCCTGATTAAAGAGCAGACATAGCATTTCGTTATTAAACGATTAAAGACAGACATTAACTGGAAATGATGTATTACATTATGCCCACATGCTCCTTTACCAGTCTTAAACAGGTAATTACTTTACAGTAATAGCTCTAAAAGGATCATTTCTCAGGGATGCATAACAACACAGTGTCCTCCGAAATCAGGGCAATTAGGTAAAAATACCCTAGGATAGAACCTAGTTGATCTCAACAGGCATGCGTTGTTTAAAGTGAACATAACCATGGCACCATAGCCTAGCCAAAGAATTGGCTCTATGTGTTTGTCTGTTCGCAATACCTTGATCAGCCTAAGAAGCCAGTATAAAACAGCAAAAGCACTATTCTATTATTCTATGTTAGACACACACAGTGCTTGAACTCTTATTTAAGTGTTTAAATGAGCACACATATTTAAATGAGGAAGAGAGAAAAAAATTGTATTTCCCTGTACAAAACCAAAATTACTGTCAAACCAATGTTTTGGGTTTTATTCCTCAAAGCAGTTTAGAAAGAAATTGAAATGCAGTATCATCTTCCAGGAGGTACACCCCCTCAATTGGAGCACTACTATTATCAACTATTTTATTCTCTCTTCCTAGCTGCTTATAATCACCTTTTCAGCAAATATGAACATTTGCTGAGAAGGATGGAAGCAAAGCACAGATGTCAAAATTTCTACAGAAACATGCAGATGCTTCTGTTCAATGTCAGCTTCTTTCATCAAACACTCTTCTCTTTCCTCTACTTCTGAAATTCTAATAATAAAACAAAGCCTTTTTGATCTTCACATTTGGTTCATGCAGCAAATGTTGTCTAAAGGTTCTTCTGCATGACTGTGCTTGTACAGAAAAAAACTGACATCTAAAGTGGTATCTGTGTGGCAAAGCACTGCAGATAGGCCCTATAAACATAGCCCACAGCACCTAAGGTAAATTCTGCAGAAGATAATCCCCTATTAATACATAGCATAGAAAATAATTCTCAATATGTAAAAGAAATGCTCTCTAGATCAGCTTCATAAATCCTTCAACAGCAGTAAATCTTGTTCTGTCATAGAGGTTTTACAAGACCTTTTAAGAAAGTATAGAAAGTAATTGCACAAACTTTGTTGTACATTTTCAGTCTTAGCATAGCTTGTCTTTGACAAACTTGTATCTATAAAAATTACAGTGTGCATAAAGCATCAACTACAAAGTTACTACCCTTCATATGTCAAGGCAGACTGCGTTAGTAACACATTCTGTTGGGAGTATCATAACTTCGTTGCTTATTATTGCAGAAAAGTTGCTACTGAAGTGGCTTTTTAAAATTATGTTTATTAATTTCTCTCCTGTAAGAAAAGCCAGTAGCAAGGAGAATGTACAGATTACGTACAGAATATCAGCAATTTACAATCATTTAAATTCAGTTATTTCAAATCTAGGAAAAGAAAAATGGTGGCTATTTCCCATGTATTTAAGAATGCAACTGCAAATTTTATTTAGATAATCAATTAGAGGAAGTCATCCAGAAATAAAAAACATCTCTGGATTCCTAAAAACTGCCATGGCTTTGCTAAAAGCCAAGAAGTAACTTGGCACTTCCAACTTACCATGTGGTAAAAAAGGCAGTAAGATGAGCATTTTGGGGAATAATCTTTAAAATTAAAAGAAACAATGTGTAATGACCTCAGAAGGTGAGGAGCCATACAGCAATATCTAGAAATAGTAAGCACCAGTAGGGCAAAGGCAAAATCTCATATAACCTTATGTTTCCACATCTGCTCTAGTTGTCAGGACTTCTTTTATCATCAGTGGAGAGAAACACACAGATGTAGGGTGCAGTCCTTCTGGCCTGTATCAGTCATTTACTCCAAGGTGATGATGAACCAAGTGCTAAAAGGGACAGCTTCTCCTCCCCAGTTACAAAGGGAGCCTGGCTGACTCACTGAGATGTGGATGTCTAAAGCCGAGGACATAAATCCA